ACCTTTAACTTGTCCTTGCTTATATTCCACTACATTGTACAAATTCGCGTCGGGTCCAAATTTTGGGGTTTTCGAGTCGTTTGATTCAACATATTGATTGTATAAATCCGCCGGGTCGGCCAAATTTTGGAAGCCAAATTTTGGAGTCGTTTAATACAAAAAGAAAAACATTAATTCAACACGCAAGAAAGTCCAGAGTGCGACAAAAAATGAACACAACTACACCACGGATGTTTATGACTCTACAACGTATATTTATAAACAGTTGTTGATTAGTTAAAAAGTCAAACTGTCGAACCTTTAACTTGTCCTTTGTAAAATTCGCTGGGTCCAAATTTTGGGGTTTTCGAGTCGTTACACGAAGAAAAACATATTAATTCAACACGCAAGAAAGTTCAGAGTGCGACACAACGTAAAATCCATAGGAAACCGGCACAACTCTTTGAAAATTCAACGAATCTGTGTGAAATATATTCTGATCACTCAGCCAAAAGGTGCCATTTTGAAACTGGACTGAATATGTCACCATTGGAGTTCGGAATTGTGCGCGTGCGTATAAGTCCATAGAAGTCTATATATGGGCTAATAAACGGAAAATGCACCACAAGCATGCCATGCGCAGGCTATTACGTACATAAATACAAGCTTCTTACTATTATATATGAATCGTGGAGTCGAAGAATCGATGGCATTTTGGATTAATCGTTGCACCCTGAGCCTGCGATGCGCGAACGCAAACTCGATTTCTCGACGACGAAAAAAACACAAGAAAACAGAAAACTAGGGATTTAAGACACTTACCTTTCAGGTCAGTGTAATTAACAATAAAACGACTTGAGTAAGAGTAAAAAGTACTGGAAGCAAAACGTACTTAAATAAAAAGTACAAAGTATCCTTAAAAAATCCTTGAAGAACAAAGTAACAGTAAAGTACTATTGTCTGTAACGTGTAGAGGGGTAAGGCGTAATATGTAAATATGGGTGTACATACAAACATTTATCATAACTAGTTATGTTAATTACCTGATCATTAAAACCATTTGAGTTTGGAAAAAAGCCACTGAGTGACTATTTTTCAAACTGACAAAAGTGACACAGACATGTTTGAGTGATTCTATTTTGCACAATATGCATACATTTTTTAATTAATTTCAGGACTTTTTCAAGTAGGTGATTTGCCCATATGGTCATGTACAAAATAACGTCACTCAAAGAATGCACAATTGCGAAAAGTACTCAGCTTTGTTTCGGTGATTGAGGTATCATATAAAGGTCTGTCAGGTTATCTATTCTAACCCAATGGTTTTGTAAACGTGTCATCTGTAACAAGATAAAAGGTCATGTTTCGCTCGCTAATCTCGTTTAAATAAATTATTACAAAGCCCAGTCGGATTGTAATCAAGACTCAACGTTTCGACACTCCAGTCTAGTGTCATCATCATGGGTGATCTAAAGTTGCATTCGTGGCTTCTTAAATACCCAAGGGATGACGTCACCTGCCATTGAAAATATATAGCAGTGAAAAGTTATACAGCAATGATGGACTATCTCCGCGTTTCTGTAGTTTACCGAAAATCCATAAACCGGAAATTCCATTGAGACCTATTGTGTCCTTTGTAAATTCTCCTAATTTCAATTTTTTTGGCGAAAATTTTGTCCCTGTGGTGAGAAATACCGAAAACACTGTCAAAAATTCCTGTCATTTCGCAGAATTTGCAAGAGGTAATTTAAAACTCTTAAAGCAGATCAAGTGTTGGTATCATTTGATGTCGTTTCCTTCTTTACAAATATCCCAGTTGATCTTGTCATCAAAGTTGCGACAAAAAGACTGAGACAGGATGCCACTTTGTTGCACATAACACCCTTGCCCTTTAAACAGTGATTCTCAAGCTAATGAACGTGAATATGTTCCAATGATCACCCAAAACATTTTCTTAATGATTGCCTGAGATCACTTGTTTGTAGGAACCAAAATAACTGCGAGGGTGATACCTCTGTTAATGGTTATGCAATAGTTCCATACATTCAAGGTGTCACAGAACCAATCAAGAAAATCGTAAAGTGGAAGTAAAGTCCGTATGTAAACAAACGGTTTGTTTACATTTTGAACTACTGTATTTTTTTTAAATATGATGTACTGTCTGAATATCTAATCAGTTCATACCTTTTGTGGGTCAAGCAGATAAACATAATCATAGGAAGAGTTTCTCTCCAATACTTTCTCGGATGTATTGTAGATCACGTCATGTAGCATTTCACAATTTGGTTCATTCTGAAAGGTCTTCTTGTAGTTGATTGACCTACAACATGGCTCCTTGACACATTCCATGATGCATTCCATCCATTGGGAAACGCCTTTTGTCATCAAAACTGTTGTATTAAATCTAAAACCTGGAGACCATAACCAAATCGATATAAGTAGGCCGCATATGTAGGTTAGGTGCAGTGTCGAAGGCCTTCTCCTATAGAAGGTCTTTTTTGACGTTTTTGACAACACGGACGTCGACCGGAAGTAAAGTTGACGTTTTTCACCAATCACAGCCCTTGATCCAGTCTTCTGACGTTACTCATGCCGTTCGTGTTGTCAAAAACGTCACTTGCTTAAGCTCACTATTGAGTTATATGAACACGGCTCTTAGCCACTCAGCGTTCGGAACTTACAAATGCTAAATTATAAAACCGCTTAATACGTCAAATTTGACCAATGAACTGGTAGGATTTGTTATATTCACTTGTGTAAAAATGCTAATGTATATTACTCGAATATACAGTCTTGATATTACACAAAATCTAGAAAACAGTATGTACATGTGAAATACTACCAGGACAGCCTAATGAGTCTGCTCTTGTTAATTAAACCATTGATATATATGCCATTGCAAAAATAACATCTATACTTCAAACACTCATGAATAATTCATAAGCTTATTGGCAAATCATGTCAACCATAATAGGTCACGTGCAGCGGCTTTAAACCTGATAAAACATTCATAATTAGTATTCTTTATACAAAGAATACTAATAAGGCAGTATTCGTGTCCTCATTAGTGTTCTTTATATAAAGAATACTAATAAGGCAGTATATGTCTATTGAATTTGTAGTCGTTTTTGAAGCCGTTTAATAAATTTGCTTCAATAAGCTATCTAACTAAAACCCAAACTTCTTCAATTACGTATATACTGTGAATAGAGTACTCATTTGTAAAACTAGTCTTTCTTTATATCAATAACTTCATTTTTATTTCTTGTGTTACGCGATACTGACTAACTGACAGTGTGTCATACTACCACAAAACATTTTGCATTTGTAAATATTGATAATTATACTAACTAATAAGCTTTAGCAATACTTATATGTGAAGTCATGCTAATAAAGCCATTTGTTACTTACTTACTCAGGGGTTGAAAGTGAGCGAGGAGCAAGTAGTGTGCTGAGCTAGTAAGATGCAGCAGTGTCTGAGAGTACAGTCACTATAGTGACAGAGATAGGGTAAGAGGCAAAGACCCTCTGGAATTTCTGAGATTTTTGGCCTTGTTAGACTTATTCAGTTCAAAATTCTTGTTCAATCATATACTGCTGTCATTTAAATATTTAAACAAAACAGCATTTGAATATCTGGGGTGGGTACGAATTCTTAACTCGCAACTCTCGTTGCTTAAGTTCTAGTACACTAAATAGTTCTGCACTTGAGTTACGAAACATTATTACTTATATATAAAATTTTAGGTAAAAATAGAAATAACAGAAGATGTTTGCTTGAGAGCAGCTGAAAAGTTCGTGCAAGCAAATATTATTCTAAACATAATGAGAAGAGATAATGGATATTTTGTCACAAATCAAAGTAACGTAAATATTTCGGTTCTTCGGAAAACATTCATTATTTCTTCCATTAGGCTGTGACAGTTTGTTAAACTAGCCGCAGTTCTGTATGTGGAAATTTCATGTTTTGATTGACCTGTTTCCCATAGTTTGTCTTGTGGGCAGATTTGTTTAAACAGAGCAGCTGCCGGAGGTCTCATGAACATTGACCCTTTCACGTGTACAGTCAACCGTAGAAACGATCGTATAAAAGGAGGAGCTCAGCTCAAATCAAGTAGAGACTATAGAGTAGACTATATAGGATATACTAAAATGTGGACTCGAGTGAAATTAGACGATAGATTATAGAGTGAAAGTAGACTATAGAGTATACTATAGGGTAGACGCGATAGTAGATTCTCAGTGGACTCTCGAGTGAAGCCAGTGGACGTAGACGAAGTAAAGCTTATAAATGATGAAAAGCTACGAAAACTCAAAACGAAACAGCACGGACAAAGTGAACCTTAGTAAAACTGCTCAGGTGGTGTGTGCTCCGGGACCCAGGCCTCCAATTTCATTGTTTATATCGCGCGGTCAAGGGAATTGTGAAATACATGCCGAAAAACGACCCTGGTGGAAACATCAAATTTTCGATGTTTAACTAACTTTATTAGCGGCCTACCTCCTCCGCAGGCACTCGTACTAACCTTGTTATAAGTATTTCGTCAACAAACAACGACAACGAGACTTAATTCGCAAAAATTCACACATGCTACGGTGTGGAATATGGTGGAAGGCATCGCTCGGAGGTAATTTTGTTGTGCTCTTTTTTATGTGTAGTAATACTAAATGGCTTGTCATGTTTGTCTGTTTTACAGACGATAAGTTTATTTATATAAATATTTAAAGGCACTCCATTGCACTCCACTAATTCTATTTGAAAAACTGATCTGAATATGTGTTATTTTTCAGAAATTGCACAATTAGTTGATATAATTTGTCATATTGATTCATTATAGAATGTTCAGTGTGTCCCAAATATGAAACAATAATTATAGATCATTTTAAAAGCGTGTTAGCCTGCGAATTGCCTTTTCACATTTTGATGTATTTAATCAATAATACATGGTACTTCATGTTTTGGGTTTTAGGTGGCCCTCACAGTGGAATAATTAACTGAATGTATAAACACTGGTGCCAGTATGGAGGATAAAACTGACTCTATTGTTAAGACGGCTCATATAGCAAAAGGAGACACTCCAGGGAAATCAAACCATAAATACAGTCGAGTTACTGAAGAAGAATCTGGGAATAAACCTCTGCCTCGGAGAAGGTCTTTATTCAAGAATGAAGATGTATTGCCAACAGAGACACTGGTAGCTCATTCTATTCTGTCAAAGCAGCAAATTGGAAAAATGAAGAATTGGAAGCAATTGTACAATATATTGCTTTATACAAACCAAGTTTTGAAGATGACCATTGGCCAGCAATAAGAGATGGTGCATTCTGGGAACAACGTGCAAAAGCTGTACATCAGTACTCTGGGCAACCATTGCGGACAGGTACCTTGTATATTGTTTATAGAGTACATTGTAACCTTGTTAATATGGTCACCAACAGCCTATAAAAAATTTGGCTGCATTAACATGGTGACCATATTAACAATGTAAATTTAATGGGAGAAGTATATGCTAAAGTTGCAAATTGTGTAAGAAAACTCAAACTAAAGACTGCAAATAATTAGATTTTAATCTTGTGCATTTGCGAGTAATTAATTGAACGAATACACTGATATTCTTTTTGTAAAATCTTTAAGATGTCACCATAACAAAATCCATCATATATCAATTAAACTAGATACACAACTGAGAGATATATTCAATAAACTAATATCCTGCTTACAAACAAATCGATGAACAAAAAATCTACAAACACAATCTCCAGTATTAAATCTCGTTGCGAAGGTGGACATGTATACTACGTCAAGAGATATTTTTGGCCATAATTTTCTAAATATCAATTTATTAATATCTTTTAAGGGGCAGCTATCCGAACAAAAACACTAAAGTACTTGGCAAAAGAATTTTCAACTGTAACTGATGCAGAGAACTTTTATGACATTGATTATTTTCATTGCAATTCACTTTTAACAGAATGTTCAACCCAAAATGATGGTTGGGAAAATGTAAATAAGTCACAAGGAGATATCATGCAAGAACTTATCTCAGCGTTCAAATGCAAACTCACAAAGAGAATGCAAGAGCAGATGATAAATCAGCTTGTACAGATATGGATTACTCAGCACTATGGAACTGAATTTTACTATTACATGAGCAAAGATTTCTTACCTTTGGCTGTTAAAGGGATGAATTTGTTGAAAGAAAATAATAAGAAAAACTTGTTTCTTGCTATGAGTAAATGCTTTGGTGAGGAAATTAATGGCAAATCCAGGATGAGTGTTAAGCAAATGCCATTTGGGCTTATATCGTATAATCTACAGTTTTTCGCTTCTGATCATACAGCAAATATTAAGATGGAGAATGATTACTTGGAGTGGCAAACCACCATGTATGCTCAGTTTGGCCACAAGTGGGCTTGCCTGCACCGAGGTCCAGCATGGCAGTACGATCAAGATGATAGTGGCAGTGACTGTGACCCAGCAACCGATGGTAATGATAATGTACCTGCTGACAATTTGAATACATCATACGAGACAGGTTTTATATCAGAATATCAAAGTTCTGGGAATGCCGACTTGATTCAACTAGCTCTGGAAGATTGCGAAATAGACCTTCAAGCGGAAGAAAGCGAAGCTGATACGGTTTGTGATCCTGACATTTGTGCACTAACAGAGGGCCTTAGTAACGTAGCACTAACAACAGATGTTACCCAAACTGATATGTCATTGTTGTGGAGTAGCAATGTTGCTGAACGAAATGAGGAGCTGGCATATGCAGTAGACAAGCCTGAAGAAGTGGAGAAGTATTTTAAAATTCGACCAACACGACATAGAAGAAAATTAAACAAGCACATTTATTGCCCCTACAAGGTAATAATGATAGCTTTCCAATTATGTATAAGCACATAACTTGTACCCAGTTTCAACACGAAAAAGGTGGAAATTGGGAAAACGAGAAATTGTGAGAAAACACTACGCCTGAAGGGATGGGTGTTTTCACACAATTTTGAGTTTTCCCTTAATCCATGAGTGTTGATATAACTATATATCAATATGGAAAGAAATGTTTTATATTTGTTTTATAATATTGCATAAAGAAATATAAAGAAATTTTCCAAAGTTTCTGTGTTGACATTGAGTTATATCAACATGGCTCTTGGCCAATCAGCGTTCAGAATTTACAAATGCTATATTATAATTTGTTGCAAAGATAGTTGTGAGTTAGGTTTAGTGGATCAAGGGCTGGTTGTTCAGAAGGTGAATAACGCCATCCACTGAATAGTGATTTTTTGAAACCTTCATAAAACTTCCCACTGATCATTATAACAGACAAGTAGGTTTGATATTACTGTCAACTTTGTTTTGGTGGGAAAACAAAATATCTCTGTTTGTTGCCTAGTTTTATAAAGGTTTAAAAAAAACACTATCCAGTGGATTGCACTATCCAACATTTGAACAACTGACCCTATATGAAAATATAATCTGGCTGTTAAAAAGATTGTGACCATATCTTTATGACAGTGACAACCATAATGGAAATGTGAGTAAAATGATTATGATTAATTTATTAATAGGCTAAGATCAACATTGCTGGAGCTGGTGTCAGACATCTGAAGAGAATGATTCAGAATAAAGGATTCTCAAGAAGCACTATCATTCAAAAAAAGCTTTTGAAAGACGCCCATGAGAGGAGTCCCAAAGGCCGTTGGTGGATCAAGGCTGATGCATGTGATTTGAGGAAAGGATTATGCGAGTCGTTGCGTGGTGAATGGTCTGGAGATAAAGATATAGGAGACGGTGAAGTAAAAAAGATACATGATGAATATAGGACCAAGGAAAAGAGGGTCAAGAATTTGCAAGTTGGAAGTGACAACTTCCTCAAAACTCTGCTTGATGTCAAGAAGGACCTTGAATGCGATGTTTTATTCCTACAAAAGGGCTTAAAGAATGCAACTGAGATCTACAACAAGAAGGTTGATAGGGGAAACGTTTCTCAGGACAATCTTGTGGCCCTTGCTTGGGATGTCACTGGTTACACAGAGCTGGTAAAGATGAATGGCGAGTTGATTTCAAAGATCTGCTTGGTGCAAGAAGACCAAAACCTTACAACTGTCGGCAGTTGGAATAATTTGCGTAACAAGCTATGCAACTACCTGAAGCAGCTGTACTTCCGAAAGCGTGAACCTGCTAGTCACTTAATGGTGTTTATGATAGCCGATGAACACAGGGAATTTAAACCATATGCCATTCCAGTTCGGGTCTTACCAGTTACCACGGTTACGGATAACGATATGCGACATTTGAGAGATCAATTGGTCGATGCAATGGAAGAATTGGGGATGATAGTTGTTGGTAAGTTTATATATATATATATATATATATATAATCTGCATCTGCGATCATTGGTTGCATGCTGGCTCGTTCCGCATTTATTGTTGTTCATTTTGATCATAGGGTTTGTTACTGATGGGGAATGGAACTCGTTAAGAACTCGTGGGGGACACAGGGCTGTGTCCATTATCCAGATAGCCATGGATGCAAGGAAACTTGTACAATCAACCAAAGTTGTTGATCTTGACAAGTTTTTCAAACCAACAGAGTCAAACGGTGTGTTCTTTTTTTATTTCATTAATCCATGTGTAATAGCAGACTTTGGTTATTACTGTACACAGTATCACATACTCAATGAGGTTAAGCTTGAAAGAACTATCATGGTAGATATTAAATAATTAACCCATTGAGTTGCATTGCGCCCTACTTTATTATTTCACTCTGCCTAACGCCAGACGATTTTACTCGTCAAGGGGAGAGCGCTGACACTTGATGGGTCAACTGGCCTATCTGCCCATGTGTCTATTTAACCCATTGAGTTGCATTGCGCCACAATGCACCCTACTTTATTATTTCACTCTGTCTAACGCCAGACGATTTTACTTGTCAAGAGGAGAGTGCTGGTGCTTAATGGGTGATATTAATTAAAATAATGAAATTTAATAAATTTGCCAAGTTTGGTTGCAAAATGTTGTAAAATGAGTAGATTAAAACCGTATGTTATTCGCAAGCTTTGATTAAATTTGTATTACACGAGGGAAATTAATACTGTAACCATATTTGAGCCGAAAATGGTTATACATTATTTCCTGCGCGTAATAATAATTTTAAGATGCTCTTTCCATTTTATTGAAAAGATATTTTGTTCTTCGATTCTTACCTGTATTTTAATTTAGTCGATCTACAGCTGGAATGATCTATTTACTTGCAAAATTGTGATTTGTGAAGTGATCATCAGTATGATACAGTTTTATGAAAACTCATGATTTTATCAAACTAAAACTCATTGTGTTTGTTGTATTTTGTACGAAAACCAGAAATAACACATGATGCCATACCCCAATCACATATTGCATGGCTTTATGATTTCATGGAAAATGGAGACCCCAACCGGAAAATTCCATTTAATGAAGCGATTCATGTTATGAGAAGACGAATGTATCCCAAGAATTATGACCCGTGTCCATGGACACCAGGCAAGAACATCATTGCATTTATACAGTACATATGCATTATGTGTGTGTTAAATTTAATTCTAAAACGGATAATGTATACATTTGTTTAGGGAAAAGTGAAACATATGCTGATTGTCTGAGATCGTTGTTTGCCAGTTATGTTTTCAAACAATCTGTGCAGTCATTGAAAGCAGAAGGAGTTGACTTTGAAAGTCACCTTTATCAACCCGAGATCAGCAGCGTCACGGGCGAGGCAATGCTTAATAGAGAGGATCATGGTCATGTTTTTAAAAGATTCACGCAATGTCTTAGAAGTGGTTCGATTCCAGGCATAAACATGAAAGCTTTTGCGGATGCTTTAAATGACCCAAAATCAGGTCTGACGTACGAAGCACTAACCGGAAAAAACAAACAGAGCATTCCTGACTGCGAACGTATGTTTTCTATAGGCGTCTTGAAATACATGGAAAGGCATGGCCACGTTGCAGAAGCGCAGTTGGTGCAAATGGTACTTGACTGGCACAAAGCATTTGATGGACGTGGAATTACAATGCAGCAGAGAGTTTTGAACTGCAAAAGAGTTCTATCATGGCTATTAGAAGATTGGATGCCTTGGCATTCCAACAATCCTGACTTCTCCACACTCGATATTAACAGGTAAATACAGAATGATGATCGAAACATGAATTAATGACTGAATTTACTTTAGGGGCGGGCCATTAGGGGAATTTTTGGGAATTTTAACCCCCCCCCCCCTCCTCCCCGGGATTTCTAATGTGATATCTACAGTTCTTTTAACTCTGATTGCCGCCAGGAGGTGAGGTGTCTAGGAGTCCCCTTTACAAGTAAAATCGTCTGACCGACTATGGCGTTTATAGACATGATAAAATCTGTTATGTGGCCGGTTCAGCCACCAATGGGTTAACATATGTCAAGCAGATGCAACAATAGAAATTTCCCGAATTTGCTGGCTGGCAATGAAAACTTACTATTTTACAATTGATATCATTGCCCGCCTTGATTTCATATTATTGTCTCGTGTGCATTCAAGCAAATTCGGGAAGTCTTTATTGTACATGCAAATTTTCGTTGATTTTTTATGCAATAATATGAGGATATTTTGATACAAAATTTTTGTTTATCCTTTTTAGACCCATTAAAGGTATCAGGGGTTAACAAGGGAGGTAGTTGTTGCATTAGTTGCAAACCTTGAAGGCTTTATTCTACGCGCATTGGATTAC